AAACTAAGGTCCACAGGACACATCCAGCCCATTACAAGATTTTCTTGCATCTAGTGGCCATAATGCGCTAGTTTTCTGGTTCAAGCTATTCTTCTAATGAAGAATATGTGACCTGGAGGAAAAATAGCCTAAATTAGGACAAATAGCTCTGCAATATTTTTTTCATAAATACAACCCAAAGTGCATTATTTTTTCCTGTCCTGGAACAATCATGAGCACCTAACTAACCCACTGTACATGACTGTTCCAGGTCAGTGACTTGTACTAGGGAGTCGGACCAGGTCCACAATGACAGCTTCAGAACCTCCACCTTTAAAATTAAAAAAATCAGGGGAAGTTCCCATAGTTTTATTGTGGTAAATTCCCCTTAGGCCAGTGGTCTCGAAACTGCAGCGCTTAGGCCAGATGTGGCACACCAATGATGGGGCACTATTCCTCCCACTGATACCAATGATGGGACACTATTCCTCCCACTATTATTCCCCACTGATACCAATGATGGGGCACTATTCCTCCCACTGATACCAATGATGGGGCACTATTCCTCCCACTGATACCAATGATGGGGCACTATTCCTCCCACTGATACCAATGATGGGGCACTATTCCTCCCACTGACACCAATGATGGGACACTATTCCTCCCACTGATACCAATGATGGGGCACTATTCCTCCCACTGACACCAATTATGGGGCACTATTCCTTCCACTGATACCAATGATGGGGCACTATTCCTCCCACTGACACCAATGATGGGGCACTATTCCTCCCACTGATACCAATGATGAGGCACTATTCCTTCCATTGATACCAATGATGGGACACTATTCCTCACACTGATACCAATGATGGGGCACTATTCCTCCCACTGACACCAATGATGGGGCACTATTCCTCCCACTGACACCAATGATGGGGCACTATTCCTCCCACTGACACCAATGATGGGGCACTATTCCTCCCACTGACACCAATGATGGGGCACTATTCCTCCCACTGACACCAATGATGGGGCACTATTCCTCCCACTGACACCAATGATGGGGCACTATTCCTCCCCTGATACCAATGATGGGGCACTATTCCTCCCACTGATACCAATGATGGGGCACTATTCCTCCCCACTGATACCAATGATGGGGCACTACTCCTCCCACTGATACCAATGATGGGACACTATTCCTCCCCTGATACCAATGATGGGGCACTATTCCTCCCACTGATACCAATGATGGGGCACTATTCCTCCCACTGATACCAATGATGGGGCACTATTCCTCCCACTGATACCAATGATGGGGCACTATTCCTCCCACTGACACCAGTGATGGGGCACTATTCCTCCCATTGAAACCAATGATGGGGCACTATTCCTTCCACTGATACCAATGATGGGGCACTATTCCTTCCACTGATAGCAATGATGGGACACTATTCCTCCCACTGATACCAATGATGGGACACTATTCCTCCCACTGACATCAATGATGGGGCACTAATCCTCCCACTAATACCAATGATGGGGATACAATGATACTTCCTTCCACTGATACCAATGATGGGGCACTATTCCTCCCACTGATACCAATGATGGGGCACTATTCCTTCCACTGATACCAATGATGGGGCACTATTCCTTCCACTGATACCAATGGTGGGGCACTATTCCTTCCACTGATACCAATGGTGGGGCACTATTCCTCCCACTGATACCAATGATGGGGCACTATTCCTCCCACTGATACCAATGATGGGACACTATTCCTCCCCCTGATACCAATGATGGGGCACTATTCCTCCCACTGATACCAATGATGGGGCACTATTCCTCCCACTGATACCAATGATGGGGCACTATTCCTCCCACTGACCAAGTGATGGGGCACTATTCCTCCCATTGAAACCAATGATGGGGCACTATTCCTTCCACTGATACCAATGATGGGGCACTATTCCTTCCACTGATAGCAATGATGGGACACTATTCCTCCCACTGATACCAATGATGGGACACTATTCCTCCCACTGACATCAATGATGGGGCACTAATCCTCCCACTAATACCAATGATGGGGTACTATTCCTCCCACTGATACCAATGATGGGGCACTATTCCTTCCACTGATACCAATGGTGGGGCACTATTCCTCCCACTGATACCAATGATGGGGCACTATTCCTCTCACTGATACCAATGATGGGCACTATTCCTCCACTGATACCAATGATGGGGCACTATTCCTTCCACTGATACCAATGGTGGGGCACTATTCCTCCCACTGATACCAATGATGGGGCACTATTCCTCTCACTGATACCAATGATGGGGCACTATTCCTCCCACTGATACCAATGATGGGACACTATTCCTCCCACTGATACCAATGATGGGGCACTATTCCTCTCACTGATACCAATGATGAGGCACTATTCCTTCCACTGATACCAATGATGGGGCACTATTCCTTCCACTGATACCAATGATGGGGCACTATTCCTCCCACTGATACCAATGATGGGGCACTATTCCTCCCACTGATACCAATGATGGGGCACTATTCCTCCCACTGATACCAATGATGGGGACACTATTCCTCCCACTGATACCAATGATGGGGCACTATTCCTCCCACTGATACCAATGATGGGGCACTATTCCTCCCACTGACACCAATGATGGGGCACTATTCCTCCCACTGATACCAATGATGGGGCACTATTCCTCCACTGATACCAATGATGGGGCACTATTCCTCCCACTGATACCAATGATGGGGCACTATTCCTCCACTGATACCAATGATGGGGCACTATTCCTCCCACTGATACCAATGATGGGGCACTATTCCTCCCACTGATACCAATGATGGGGCACTATTCCTCCCACTGATACCAATGATGGGGCACTATTCCTCCCACTGACACCAGTGATGGGGCACTATTCCTCCCATTGAAACCAATGATGGGGCACTATTCCTTCCACTGATACCAATGATGGGGCACTATTCCTTCCACTGATAGCAATGATGGGACACTATTCCTCCCACTAATACCAATGATGGGACACTATTCCTCCCACTGACATCAATGATGGGGCACTAATTCCTCCCACTAATACCAATGATGGGGTACTATTCCTCCCACTGATACCAATGATGGGGCACTATTCCTTCCACTGATACCAATGGTGGGGCACTATTCCTCCCACTGATACCAATGATGGGGCACTATTCCTCTCACTGATACCAATGATGAGGCACTATTCCTTCCACTGATACCAATGATGGGGCACTATTCCTTCCACTGATACCAATGGTGGGGAACTATTCCTCCCACTGATACCAATGATGGGGCACTATTCCTCTCACTGATACCAATGATGGGGCACTATTCCTCCCACTGATACCAATGATGGGGACACTATTCCTCCCACTGATACCAATGATGGGGCACTATTTCCTCCCACTGATACCAATGATGGGGCACTATTCCTTCCACTGATACCAATGATGGGGCACTATTCCTCCCACTGATACCAATGATGGGACACTATTCCTCCCACTGACATCAATGATGGGGCACACTATTCCTCCCACTAATACCAATGGTGGGGCACTATTCCTTCGACTGATACCAATGATGGGACACTATTCCTCCCACTGATACCAATGATGGGGACACTATTCCTCCCACTGACATCAATGATGGGGCACTATTCCTCCCACTGATACCAATGATGGGGCACTATTCCTTCCACTGATACCAATGGTGGGGCACTATTCCTCCCACTGATACCAATGATGGGGCACTATTCCTCTCACTGATACCAATGATGAGGCACTATTCCTTCCACTGATACCAATGATGGGGCACTATTCCTCCCACTGATACCACTGATGGGACACTATTCCTCCCACTGATACCAATGATGGGGCACTATTCCTCCCACTGACACCAATGATGGGGCACTATTCCTTCCACTGATACCAATGATGGGGCACTATTCCTCCCACTGACACCAATGATGGTGCACTATTTCTCCCACGAATACCAATGATGGGACACTATTCCTTCCACTGACACCAATGATGGCACTAGCACTATTTCTCCTACTAATACCAGTGATGGGGCACTATTCCTCCCACTGATACCAATGATGGGGCACTATTCCTTCCACTGACACCAATGATGGGGCACTATTCCTTCCACTGACACCAGTGATGGGGCACTATTCCTCCCACTGACACCAATTATGGGGCACTATTCCTCCCACTGATACCAATGATGGGGCACTATTCCTCCCACTGCTACCAATGATGGGGCACTATTTCTCCCACTGATACCAATGATGGGGCACTATTTCTCCCACTGATACCAATGATGGGGCACTATTCCTCCCACTGATACCAATGATGGGGCACTATTCCTCCCACTGATACCAATGATGGGGCACTATTCCTCCCACTGACACCAATGATGGGGCACTATTCCTCCCACTGATACCAATGATGGGGCACTATTCCTCCCACTGATACCAATGATGGGGCACTATTCCTCCCACTGATACCAATGATGGGGCACTATTCCTCCCACTGATACCAATAATGGGGCACTATTCCTCCCACTGATACCAATGATGGGGCACTATTCCTCCCACTGATACCAATGATGGGGCACTATTCCTCCCACTAATACCAATGATGGGGTACTATTCCTCCCACTGACACCAATGATGGAGTACTATTTTTCCTCCTTTTGACCAGAGGTGCTATGCAGTTTTTTTACTCCCACTGACATCTAAGCCTTGGCAATGTCTACTCCCACTGATGTTGGAGACATTTTCTACTCACAATAGCCACAGTCTGGTGGCCCCTAGAGTCTGAAGGACAGTAAAATGGCCTAGAAAGTTTGGAGACCCCCGCCTGTAAATTTTTCACATTTTGTATCTATTTTTTTAAAAGATTACCTTTCATTTACGTCTATCTCTTTTTTCCCTAGGTAAAAGAAGACTGGAAATACGTGGCAATGGTCATAGACCGGATATTCCTGTGGATGTTCATCATCGTCTGTTTGTTAGGAACAGTGGGATTATTTCTGCCCCCTTTCTTGGCTGGGATGATCTAGGATTTTATGACAATTGCTCGGCCCCATTTTCTTGTAGAGATTTGCTCATTCCCTGCCTGTAGCAAGAGCTGATGTCGGGGAGGACAACGCAGCCCAAATCTCAGGCTCCTCGGACTCAACGGCTTTGAAAAGCATGCATCACTGACTCCGCCCCTGAGGAACAATGGGATGGTCACCCCCAAGGCAATTTGCTCATGAATAAAACAAATGAATGAGATTAGTTAATTTGGCTCCTCCATTTTTTTCTTTTTTTGCAAAATTTCAACCACACCAAAAAAAAAAAAAAATGGGGAGCATATCGGGGTACATATTGGGGAGGAATTGAGGGGCTGATGTGCCTTGGCTTTAACTACAACATTACTGTCAGTGTGAGATCTGTTAGCCAGCATGTTTGGGTGCTGACGGTTTTAGGGCAAGGAATTTTTTTGCAACTTAGCAAAGAATATTAAACTTAATATTTGGCCTCAAAATGTCTTTCGCAATGCTGACTGGTGGAGTGAATGTTTAATAGTCCTGTCTAAGCTCATCATATTGGTGCTGAGCTGGCTTAGCGATTTAATGTCTCCATCCATCTGCATGTGGAACTTTCCCATTAGGAACCAACACCTGTCCATGACCATAATGGGCAACAACAGTTACAAATATTATTCTATCTGAAATGTGCTTTACAAATGTAGAATTACTCATACCTCATTACAGTTCCAATTCCAGAAGTTTGCAAACCCTGAAAGTGGTAAAGGCTTCAATAGTGCTCATTATGGTTGGTGCTAGGATGGGTTACAGAAGGTGTAAATCTTAACTGGATAACACTTGAGGGGGTCTATTTAGAAAAGAAGCATTCCTGCAAGCAGAATGAAATTTCACCATTTGGTTTCCCCTGTATCAACATCGCCATCTAATGGCCAAATATGATATTGTTTTCTGAAATACCGCAATAGGAAATATCCCACATTTGGCCACTAGATGATACAGGAGTTAATCTATTTGAAAACCTACGGTGAAATTTCATTTAGTTCACCGAAAAACTGCACATACAAAAAACAATCTTTGATGCTTAAAACTGAATTTTAGATATGGATTTTATTGTGCTGTCACATAAGGCCAGTTTGGACCAATGTAACCCAGAGGGTCGCTTTCAAAGATTGCAGCCACAGCTGCCAGAAGAATTGTTCGGGATACAAAGAAAAACCCACAGGTAACCTCAAGAGAAACACAGGCTGCTCTGGAAACAGATGGTGTGGTTGTTTTAAAGGAGCACAATACGATGATACTTGAACAAAAATGAGCTGCATGGTCGAGTTGTCAGAAAGAAGCCTTTACTGTGCCAATGCCACAAAAAAAGCCTGCTGAGGTATGTCAAGGTGATGTTGGGTATATTGTATATGGGCTTTTTTTGTGGCAAAAACTGCTTTTCCTGGTCCCCTAGACCTAAACTAGAGTTTAACCCTTGCAGTGCGGCAGTGATGTATTTCATTTTTTTGCTACCCAAGGCAACACAGAAATCAGACCCTCCCCCCACTTGGAGGAGAGAGTCTGACACCAACCAACACCAGTGGCCAACAACGCCCGTGCCCCCCACCCGAGAGAGCCTTCCACTAACACCAAACCCCCCCCCTCCCCCCGGAAACAGAGAGACACTCACCTTAACAGCTCCAGACATCCCCAGGAACGAGAGTCGGGCTCTGCATACACCATCAAGTAGCCCGCAGTCTCTTTCAGATCCCTCCTGGTTCCCATGCCACATATGTCCCTTCTTGCTGGGGAGGGTTCTGCCCCCCTGCAAAATGCCGCGCTAGGCAAATGCCTTGTTTGCCTTGTGGTAAATATGCCCCTGCAGTGCGGGGTAGTTCCACTTTTTACTTCCCCAGATTTCAGCTTTAGGGCCAGTTCACACTACAAAAATTCACTGTACTAATTTGTAGGAAAGAAGCCTTTACTGTGCCAATGCCACAAAAATAAAAAAAAAAAGCCAGGCGGGATTTATCAAGGTGTTGTCAGGCATATTATAACCGGGCTTTTTTTGTTTGTTTACCCAAAGGAATACAAAATACAGGCCAATATCCAATACAGAGGTCTTACATTTTCTATCCATATGACAAAAATCTATTGACATAAAAATGAACGCAAGGCCAAGAAGAAAAAAAAAAAAAACCTAAGTTGGAAGAACAAAGAACTCGAAATAGAAACAAGAACTCAAAGCCAAATAATGTAATGACTGTGTGACAAGAAATATATTATAAAAATTTTGACTATTTATCAACAAATCTCGGTAAATGTATATTAAATATGATAAGAGATTGGGCTGATAACCATAAATTCAAAGTAGTTGGTCGCGGATAAGATTCCAGGGGTCCCATCTAGCATCAAAAGCTCGATAGTGTCATTCAAAGTATGGAAGACACATTCCATTATCATGATGGAATCAATTCTCGCCAGAATTTGAGAAAATGGAACCACCGGAGATCTCCAGTTAGCAGCTATGGACCCACACACAGGCTACAGAAAAGGTGTGAATCAACCTTTGTATAGTGGGTGGGGTTCCCACAATAGTGGCAAATAACAAACCATTAGAGAGATTCAAATGTATAGGGTGACCTACGATTTCAGAGGACATTTCCTGAATATGTTCCCACGTAACCAGGCTTTTTTTGTGGCATTGGCACAGTAAAGGCTTCTTTCTGGCAACTCGGCCATGCAGCACATTTTTGTCATATTGCGCTCCTTTAAAACAACCAAACTTTCTTTTTCCAAAGCAGCCTGTATTTTACCCATACATCGGGTTACCTGTGGGTTTTTCTTTGTATCCCGAACAATTCTTCCGACAGTTGGGGCTGCAATCTTTCTTGGTCTACCTGACCTTGGCTTGGTATCAAGAGATCCCACAATTTTCTACTTCCTAATAAGTGATTGGGGCGGCACAGTGGCTTAGTGGTTAGCACATCTGCTTTGCAGTAAATGGGTTATGGGTTCGATTCCTGACCATGGCACCTCCTGCATAGAGTTTGCATGTTCTCCCTGTGCTTGCGTGGGTTTCCTCTGGGTACTCTGGTTTCCTCCCACATTCCAAAGACATGCTGGTAGGTTAATTGGCTCCTGTCTAAATTGTCCTGGTTTCATCCCTGGCCATGCAGAATCTCCTGTGTGGTAGGGGTTGGGGAAAGACCTACCCTGTAAAAATAATTGCTAAGAGAATTCATGGAAAAAGTTGCTTACGAGTGGCGGTCCAAGGGTCGATACAACTGATTGGATAGAATAAGTGATTGAACAGTGCTGTCTGGTGTATTCAAGGCTTTTCTGAAGGATATCTTTATAAAATTCCATTATCTTGTTACGCAGGTCTTTTGACAGTTCTTTTCTGCTTCCCATGGCTCAGTATCTAGCCTGCTCACTGCATCCACGTGAGAGCTAACAAACTCACCTACTATTTATACACAGACACTAATTGCAATTTAAATAGCTACAGATGTGGGAAATGAACCTTTAATTGCCCTTTTAACCCTTGTGTGTCTGTACCAAGGCCAAACATTCCAGGGGATGGAAACTTATGATCAGGTCCATTTGGGTGATTTCATTAGGATTTAAAAAGGAGCCAAACAACTATGTGATAATAAATGGATTCATATCATCACTATCCTTAAATAAAAGACAGTTTTTTGGCATGATCAGTCATATTTTCAATATCAATGCCAAAATTTCTTGATTTCTGCCAGGGGATGCAAACTTTTGAGCACAACTCTATGCTCCCTTCCCCTTCTCGAATCTCCTCCTAGCACAAGTCCTGGGTGCACAGCACTAGCAACACTGCTGACCCTCAGAACAGGACTTTGTAGGGTATGCGTACCTTGTCTCTGATCAACTTGTAGACAGTCTTTGGCTTTCAGAAGTTGAGCTTAACTTCATGTGGCCCCTGCCCTTTGATGAAGGCCAGGGGCTACAAGTAATACCAGGGAGTATGCACTTGTCACTTGCAGTATAGTTGACAATGTCATGATGCTGATGTCACTACTCCTGTCAGCCCGTAGGTGCAGACGCTTACTGCGACACCCCCCCCCCCCCCCCCCGTGTGAGACCACTGTACCATTGCCCATGGGGCACCTCTCCACCACCTGTAGGTGCAGACGTTCACTGCAACCCCCTGTGAGACCACTGCACCACTGTCCATGGCACCTCTCCACCACCTGTAGGTGCAGACGCTCACTGCGACCCCCCCATGTGGGACCACTGTACCATTGCCCATGGGGCACCTCTCCACCACCTGTGGGTGCATACGTTCACTGCAACCCACCTGTGAGACCACTGCACCACTGCCCATGGGGCACCTCTCCACCACCTGTAGGTGCAGACGTTCACTGCAACCCCCCTGGGAGACCACTGCCCATGGCACCTCTCCACCACCTGTAGGTGCAAATGCTCACTGCGACCCCCCCAAGTGAGACCACTGCACCACTGCCCATGGGGCACCTCTCCACCACCTGTAGATGCAGACGTTCACTGCAACCCCCCTGTGAGACCACTGCACCACTGCCCATGGGGCACCTCTCCACCACCTGTAGGTGCAAATGCTCACTGCGACCCCCCAAGTGAGACCACTGCACCACTGCCCATGGGGCACCTCTCCACCACCTGTAGGTGCAGACGCTCACTGCGACCCCCCCTGTGAGACCACTGCACCACTGCCCATGGGGCACCTCTCCACCACCTGTAGGTGCAGACGCTCACTGCAACCCTCAAGTGAGACCACTGCACCACTGCCCATGGGGCACCTCTCCACCACCTGTAGGTGCAGACCCTCACTGCGACACCCCCGTGAGACCACTGCCCATGGGGCACCTCTCCACCACCTGTAGATGCAGACCCTCACTGCGACACCCCCGTGAGACCACTGCACCACTGCCCATGGGGCACCTCTCCACCACCTGTAGGTGCAGACGCTCACTGCGACACCGCTGTGAGACCACTGCACCACTGCCCATGGGGCACCTCTCCACCACCTGTAGATG